ATTCCCTAGGAGGTCAGGCAGCATCCCAGGGGCTGCTCACACGCAGACTTCTCCATGATGCCTTGGGGCCATACAGTACAGATAAATCTGGGGCACTGCCTGGAGATGGGCGTTCCAGAGATTACGTCAAAAAGCTCAGGCTGGCTGCCAGCCGGTCAATTCTGACTCCTGCTGACCCAACAGGGTAGAGTAGAACTGCCCCTGTGAGTTTCCAAGACTGTTAACTCTTTACCAGAGTAGAAAACCTCATCTTTCTCCTGAGTAGGGGCTGGTGGTTTCGAACTGCTGACCTCATGGTCAGCCGTCCAATGCATAACTGACGATGTGACCAGGGCTCCTATGATTCCCTGGGAGGTCCTGAAGTAGTCCAGGGGTCCATGACTCCCTGAAGGAAACCGGAGTAACCCTGACATGACTTACTTGTAGGAGAGCATTCTATGAACTCGGGGGAGGGTCTGACACACTGCAGTAGACCAGTAGGTCAAGAGTTACCTTAGGGCTTTGTTTCTAATGCCTTGGGACTTTGAGGTCAAAAAGAATCCTGGGGTTTTGCTGGGAGAAGGAACGCCCCTGACTCCCTGGGGAATGTGCCTGCAGGAAGTCCCACCAGGAATGTTTGGGGGTGACGGGGCAGCGGGGCCGACCCCGCCAGGCCCGTCGCCACAAGACGTGCCCCAGCCCTGGGGAAATCAGCAAGGTCATGGCCGCCATGGCTCTGGGCGGGCTGAGCGACAGGGGCTGCAGCGAAGACGAGTTGCTGGAGAAGTGCATCCAGGCGTTCGGTGAGTGTCCCCTGCCCAGGTGTGTGCCACAGAAGCAGTGTGGAGTGCAAGGGCATCCTTCCTGGGATGGGGGAGGGCAGAGACTTGTCAGAGGTTTTCTGTGTCCGCTCCCTCCCTCCCTCCCTCCCTCTCTCCGTGAGATGCCTCCTTTGTGCCTACCCTTGTGCTGGTGCATAGTGGGGGCCCCGTGGTTCACGTACGTACGGCCACCAGTTACTCTATGTAGAATGTATAGATGGGGAAACCGAAGCAGCTGAGGTTCAGTCACCGGTTAAAGAGGCAGTGGCGGAGCTGGGATTTGAACCCAGAGTCCTTGCTCTTAACGACTGCCCTGGGTGTGTACAGCACAGGCAAAGCAGCCGAGGTACAAGGAGGTGATGTTGCTTGCCCATGTGCATGCATGAAGCTGTGGGGAGAGCCAGGGGTTAGCACCAGACTGTCCAACTGACCTTCGGGGTGGGGCCTATTCTGACCGTCTCCTTCCTCTCTGCCCCTAGACTCGGCTGGCAGCCTGTGCCGTGGAGGCCACGTTCTCAACATGGTGTTAGCCATGCACAGCTGGGTGCTGCCTTCTGCCCACCTTGCCGCCCGGCTGCTGAGCTTATATCCTCCTGGGACAGAGCGAGGGCCGGAGGGAGGAGGGCAGCGTTGCAGGAGCCTCAGTGATGGGGATAAGGTGGATGGGGCGGGTCTGGGAGACTGGCTAACAGAGCCTTGACCAAACTCAAGTACCAGGAGGCCACAGGGAGCACGCAAGAGCGGAGACGGTTGCAGATCTGTCACCTGGTCAGGTAGGGCTGAGCCAGGACTGCCACTCCCATGACCCAAGGCCCCATCATGCTGCTCCCCAAACTCACCTCCCAGATGCTCCCTAACCCAGGTCCCATAGACACACCTAGCTCTGCTCCTAAAGCCCTGGATGTCTGAAACCCTAGCTTGGTCCTAAGACACTCCCAGGTGGGGTCCTTAGAACCACCATCTCCTAGAGACCTCTGCCCGTGGTGCTCAGGCACCCCGCCAAACCTCCACTTCCCATAGAACCCCCAGCCTAGCCTCTAAGAATCCCTCACCCTCTCCCCCAAAAGTCTCGCCTCCAAGAGATCCCCAGCTTTAGGTCTACCCCCAGCCTGCTTTCTAACACTCTTACTTCCAAGAGTTTTCTCCCTGCCTCGCTCTCCTAGTACCCCCATCCCATGTTAAAGAACCCCCAGCCTAGTGCCAGCAATCCCCTGAGTTTGCTGCTCCGCCAGACCAAGACCATCAGAGACCCCCTCTTCAGGCTGCGAGTCCCCTCCTCAGCCCAACAGACTCCTTCCAGAGACCTTTCCCACCCCCACCTCCCAGCCTCACCCACCATCTCTAAACCACCCTCAGGTACTGGCTGACCCAGCACCCTAAGGCAGTACACCAAGAGCCCCAACTAGAAGAGGTCATAGGTCGCTTCTGGGCCACCGTGGAAAAGGAAGGCGGCTCGGCCCAGAGGAATCTGGGGGGTTCCTGCAATCTGTGAGTCAGCCTTCCCCACCTACCCTTTCCATCCCCACACCCTCATCCTCCTACCCCCTCCATCCCGCCAATCCCTCCACCCTGAGCCCCTCTTTGCCTGCAGCCTGAGCCCTGGTGGCCCTGGTCCCCCAGCCCCCTTGAGCAGTCCAGGCCTGGGCAAAAAGCGCAAAGTGTCCTTGCTTTTCGATCACCTGGAGAGTGTGGAGCTGGCCGAACACCTCACCTACCTGGAGTTCCGCTCTTTCAGGGCTATCACGGTGAGCTCTTACTCCTCCGCCTAGCTGGGAAGAGCTTGGGGCTGTGGGACTGGATGGGGCCGGGGAAAGGACCTGGGAGGTGCCAGCATCATGTCAGGACCCTGGAGATCTAAGAATGTGAATGTGGCTGACCGAGCCGAGCACAGAGTCCCTACGTTCGAATCCCACTCATCCCGTTCAGAACCTCAAAATCCTCTTTGTTTCCATAATACGTCACAATCACTAATAACTCCAGGGCATATTTGAATCTGTAAAAAGATTCAAAGACTTCCCTTTGGCACATGTCAGGATTTTTTAAGAGCCACGCGTTCCGCTGGCTGGACTGCAGTAGCTCTGGGAAGTGGGTTGTTTCAGGGACCTAAGTCGAAATTGTAACATTTAGAAGGTTTTCATTGTCATCCTGGTGATCTTCTGGGTAAGATAGAACAGATATGGGTCCGAAGTTTTCAAAGATTGGTCTAAAGGTTGAGCTATGAGGGGAAAGTTAGGGATCCAAGTTCGACAACAGCCAGAGTCCTAAAAGTACCCTTTGGTTTTTATTTGTTTTCGGTAAAGCGAAGCTGCTATAACTTCTTGACCTTCCCTCACTGCCATCGAGTCCGTGCTGACTCGTAGCGACCCTACAGGACAGGGCAGAACTGCTCCTTGGGGCTTCCGAGTCTGTAACTCCTGATAGGGGCACAAAGTCTCAGTTTTCTCCCTCGGAGCAGCTGGTGGTTTTGAACTGCTAGACTTGCATTTAGCAGTCTAAATGCACCCTTCTTATGCCATGTAATCTCTGGGGGCACTTTATTAGCCCTCTCTTTTACCTGAGGGTTAATAAAAATGTCTTCAGAGATTAAATGACATAAGTATTTGACAGAAAGCTACCGTATGTGACTTTCACAGCAAAGCATCCTATTTCCGGGGGAATTGGAAAGGGCCAACCTAGGAATCCCGCTGCACTTAATTGCACACAGGTTCTGAAGAAATCTCCAGTCTCTGTGGTGTGGCTTCTTAACTGGAAGGACAGGAGTGCTACAAAGGTTAATGCAGAGACGATGAACCCTTTAGGAAGAAAAGCCTAAATTAGAGGAATCAGTCTTTGCTTCTCCTTTAAAGGGTATTGGAGAACATGGGGATCCGTCCACTTCAACGTTAATAGGTTCCACTGAAAACAAATCTGACAGCTTTCACTGAAACTTGTTCTTTTCATGCTCAAAATGCTCGGAACTTCTTTTTTAGAAGGGCCTTCAGAACCAATGTCCCATTCTTGTTAAAGACGTCATGATCCCAAATCTTCAACCTTTGAAGATGTTTGACGGCTTTTGAAAGAGTTGCGTCGTACAAGACCAAACACCATGAAACACGTGTGGGCCAAGCCGGGTTCTGCTTGTCAAGGCAGAAGACCGGTTTTCTGGTGTGGCTCTGAAGGGAATTATAAGTACAAGGGAACTGAGAGTTGCTCACATCATTGGGATATGTAGATCACTTCGCAAGATGTCCAAATAACTGAAGGAAACACCACTCGTTTTGTATGTCCTGGTAGCCGAAGAGGCTGTAGCTTCCCACGTTGCGTTGAAGGTTTAGTTTGAGCCCTAGAGTCATGACATGAAGGTGCTAAATACTCTTGTTGCTTTATCTATTTTTGTGCAAAGGAGCTCTGGTGGTATAGTGGGTTATGTGTTGGACTGCTGACCACAGAGTCAACGGTTCAAAACCACTAGCAGCTCCAAAAGAGAAAGATGAGGCTTTCTACTCCTGTAAAGAGTCACAGTCTTGGAACAGGGGCAGTTCCACCCTGTCCTCTAGGGTCGCTATGAATCAGAATCCATTTGAGGAGAGTGAATTTGGCACGTTTGTTACGAAGGACGCCCAGTAGTGTTGAGGATTACATGTTAGACACCCCAAGGTCGGCCATTGGAAACCACCCGCTGCTGCATGGGAGAGAGATGAGCCTTTCTTCTCCCATAGAGATTTAGAGCCTCAGACTCCCGCCAGGGAAGTTCTACCCTGTCTTATGGGGTTGTTGTGCGTCAGAATGACTCAATGGTGGTGAATTTGTCTGCTTGGTTTGGTTTATGGGTATTCATCATTTGCATTCTAAATTTGCATATAATTTAAAACCTTTCCGCTGTCCTTGGAATATTTTTTTCTTTTTTTAAAAAGCATGTTATTGGGGGCTCGTACAATTCTTATCACAATCCATCCATCCATCCATCCATCCATCCATCCATCCATCCATCCATTGTGTCAAGCACATTTGTACATTTGTTGCCATCATCATTCTCAAAACATTTGCCTTCTACTGAAGCCCTTAATATCAGCTCCTCATTTCTCCCCCTCCCTCCCCACTCCCCCTCCCTCATGAACCCTTCATAATTCATAAATTATTATTATTTTGTCATATGTTACACTGTCCGACGTCTCCCCTGGCTCACTTCTCTGCTGTCCACCCCCCAGGGAGGAGGTTATACGTAGATTCTTGTAACTGGTTCCCGCTTTCCACCCCACACTCCCTCCACCCTCCAGGCATCGCCACTCTCACCACTGGTCCTGAAGGGGTCATCTGTCCTGGATTCCCTGTGTTTCCAGTTGCTATCTGTACCAATGTACATCCTCTAGTCTAACCAGATTTGTAAGGTAGAATTGGGATCATGATAATAGTGGGCGGAAGGAAACATTTAAGAACTAGAGGAAAGTTATATGTTTCATCATTGCTACCCTGCACCCTGACTGGCTCATCTCCTCCCTACAACCCTTCAATAAGGGGTGTCCAGTTGTCTACCAATGGGCTTTGAGTCTCCACTCTGCACTCACCCTCATTTACAATGATATGATTTTTTGTTCTTTGATGCTTGATACCTGATCCCTTTGACACCTCGTGGTTGCATAGGCTGGTGTGCTTCTTCCATGGGGGGTTTGATGCTTCTCAGCTAGATGGCCGCTTGTTTATCTTCAAGCCTTTAAGACCCAAGACACTATATCTTTTGATAGCCGGACACCATCAGCTTTCTTCCCCACATTTGCTTGTGCACACGTTTGTCTTCAGTGATCATATCGGGAAGTTGGGCACCCACTGATATGATATTTTGTTCTTTAATGTCTGATACCTGTTCCCTTCTACACCTCGTGGTCACACAGTCTGGTGTGCTTCTTCCATGTGGGCTTTGATGCTTCTGAGCTAGATGGCCACTTGTTTACCTTCAAACCTTTAAGACCCCAGATGCTATATTTTTGGATATTCGGGCACCATCAGCTTTCTTCACCACATTTGCTTATGCACTCATTTGTCTTCAGCGATCGTGTCGGGAAGATATGCATCATGGAATGCCAATTTAGTAGAACAACATGTTCTTGCATCGAGTAAGTACTTGAGTGGAGGTCCAATGTCCATCTGCTACCTTAATGCTAAACCTATAAATATATGCATGTAGATCTATTTCCCCACCATCCTTGGAATATTTTCAGTGAATAAAATAAATAAATCGGTGACAAGGAACGTTTGGTAAAATAGAATTATCTGCCAATACATTAAATAGTAATGTGAATATAGGTATTCTTAGCAGTAGTTACCAATAAGAGGCCAACTAAATTTATTGTCTTAAATTGGGGGTGGGGCGGGGCTGAGAAATAGCTTCAGAGGGAAGGAGTCTGAACAAGCAGAGCTTTGGAAAGCACAAGAAAGGCCTGCAAATAGCGAGAGCTTCTTCTTTTGTAATGTTACTATGCGCAAGTTCTGACTTTCCAACAATATTAATAACATTTCCCTTTTTTTCCCATTAAATTGCAAAGGGCAATCCAATTTATATAAAGCGTCTCTATTCAATAGCAGGGGTGTCAGAACTGAGCAAATAAAAGGGTGCGATCTGCAATACAGCCATGCGATATTTACACAGGCTTTGTGACTGCAAGTTGGCTGTTTATCAGAAGCCCGCACGATTTGTGAAGCCTTTTTACTCCAGGGCGGGCACTTTTGTAAACATCCACCTGTTTGCATGTGATTAACGGCAGATAGGCTAACTCTAAAGCAATTAAAAATCAGCAATTGCCCCAATAATATACATACTTCTTTATCCTTGAGGGTTGAGAGTCTACTGGGAAAATCCACCTATTGTCCCTGGGACCGTGTCATTCTGAGTCAGAGAATGAAAGGAGGGTTAAGCTATAAGGCCTGTTTATTCTTACACTTAAAGCATCCATTTTTCCAATGACTAGGGACATTTTTGTTTTGTTTTTTTGCCGGCATTAGGTCCATGGGAGGTTTTGTTTTATTTTTCCCCCTCAGTCGGGTTTTACCTGCTGTAATTGAAGGGCATTAATTTGTTCGCCTTAGCAGCCTGCTTTGTGTCTAAAGTTTAGGGAAACTCAAGCCAACACTGGGAGAAGCCTTACGATCTCAGCTACGGCTTTTAACTGAGGCTGAAATTGCAGATTTGAGGTCAGATAAAAATACTGCATTAAAAGCCCCCATAATCTCTTGCCTTGAGGGTACTCAGTGAATGGTGGTCTGTAACTACCATATACTTTCTATTATAATGCCCTCCTTCTTTATGAAGATATATTAATCTAGTGGCCCTGGTTCTGCCACTGTCATTGAATATGATTGAAAGTTTTGCCTTATCGACAGCCCCCATTGTTTGTGTAAATAGTGTCCAGTCAATTGAATTTAATCTGCACAAGTCAATAGTTCATGCACTGTGGTTTCTATACTTGTATAATCTCCTCTTCTCAACTGTGATTTGAATTCTATGCCACTGGATACATTAATGACATTATCAATAGGTGTTTAGATTAACTTCAACTTTAATAGATTCAGCTGAAAATGGTCAACCTTATGCTACAGGGAGATGATTGATAATGTTCTCTAGAATCAAATGAAAACGATGTCTCTAAGGTGAAGCAGAGACATATAAACCACAGATGTAGGAATGGTTTGGGAGCTCACACTTAATTCTAGCCCTGATCTAAGAACAATCAGTTCTTGGGACATGGCCCTGCTTGATACTTGCCCTCTTGCA